GTATAAAGTCCGGCTACAAGGCATTGACGCAACGCGTTCAACTGAACGGATAAACGAACGAGCGCCGTATGACTTGGGCGATCGCGTGTGGGTGAAATCTCCACATAGCCGGTGTACATCCCGGTACCGGGTGGGGCATGTCACTGGACTAAGTAACTCGCATTCTGTGCTGGTTGATGGCATACCAAGACACATAAAGGACTTGCGTCACTATGTAGGTACAGATACGTCAACAAGTGACACTAGCAGTGAGTGCTCAGAAAGTGAACAAATAATTACCATCGGAGGTAGGGATAGCACCCCTTCAGATGGTGAAGTGCGTGAGGTTGTCAGACCAGAAGAATCCTCAGAAGAAGAATCTTCAGAACATTCTTCAGATGATGAAGACTCTGCGCATGAGGTTGTCAGATCAGAAGAAACCTCAGAACATAACACACAATCTCCTCCCACAGTTGCCCGGCTCCGGAGAAGCTTAAGAATAAAGAGGCCCGCCCATGAGTGTCACTTATGTGACAGGGGGAGTGTAGTGAACGAGATAATCAAGTACCCCGGAAAAAGTTCGTGTTTTGTGTGCGATCTGCCGGGGAGGGATTGCCAAAAGAAAAGTAGTCAGCAAAACTCTTATAGCGACTTACCTCGTCAACCCAAGCGAACCGCAAAAAGAAAAAAGAAACAAGTCCGTCGCAGGAGTCGCTATAAGAGTGTATTAATATGCAAATTACGGAGCATCCTATCCCGGCTGTCGACTAATGGAAAAAAAATAGGTTCTGCCGATAAAAGCAGTTGGTGTTGTCGACTCGGAGAAGGAAAATTCGGGCAGTTTTGGCTACGGCGTTCGTGAGTTATTTTCCTGACGCGTTACAAGTGATTTTCTTTCTTTGTGTTGTGAAAGCCACAAATTTGCTTTGAGAACGCGTTTGAATAAGGCGTAAATAATTATTTATTATAAGTTATTAAAAAATTGAACAGGAGTGATGTTTCATAACTAGCATTTTTAAAAATTGCGTTAATTATCTTTGATCACCACCTGATGAGATGCTTTGGGCATGAAAACAAATATCATTTCCGCGTGGTAACTTAAATATTCAAATGTTTTCATATATATATAAAATCATCTTTCAGGTTTAGGTTTGTCCAGACTGGTCGACGTCAATCAGATGGTCATTGTACATTTTCTTTTGTTGACCGTGGTGTTCTTTTTACGTGGGCGGTATCCAGAATGTCTCACATTCGTTGCTGGATTGTTCTTTGCATGCCAGAGTGACCAGCAAATGTTAGTTTCTGTTGGCCTGGATTTTTGGGAGATATGTTGACAGAGCTCGCGCTATTTTGAAGTATTTGTTTAGTGCTACTGGTCATACGGTTTAAGCAGGCCTTAGTGGCTTTTCCAGTTTGTTAATGTCCAGGTTAAGGAATACAAGGATAGACTCTACTGTAACACTGAAAGGTTCTCTTAGTTTGATGGATCCCAGATTTCATTAAGCACTCCCGAGCGATTTTCTCAGTCTGGGTCGTGAAACCATCCAAATATGCTGGTAACAAGCACCGACGGACCATCGAACTGCTATCGATGTCATTGGCACTGGGCACACATTGCTACCATAATGTTGTCCTGAGGAAACAAGGCAAGGGGTGAGAATTCAGCGCTTTTCTCCTCCCAAAACCATTGTGGTCGGTTGTGCATGGCAGCAGTCTTGCCTGTCGTTTTGTTCAGTTCGTAAAGTGTATTAGAAGCTCTGGTGGATACAGGATGCAAGAAGGTCGTTAGTTTCCGCAAGTTGTTTTTCCCCCGTTTGCTGTCGTGCATTTGGGCAATGAAAATCAACACGATACCACTGTTTGACAGTAGATTCTGGATAGGCGTAGTGGAATGGTTGTGGAATATGTCAGTTGGTGGTGTGAAGCGTTGTTGCAAAGCCGTCCATCGCTATGCTGGTACCAGCAATTAGGGAGGAGGACGAGCAGACTTCAATTGCATTAAGAAAGGTTATTCACACTTCCTAGATCCCTCGGACTGGAAGCAATTTTGATCAAACAGTTGGGGGGAGATATCGATGTTTTTTGGCGCCGGTGAGGTGCGGTTTTTTGCAGTGTGTCGAAAGTGTTTGCTGCCATCACTGGATTGCCTGAGCCCGACTTTTAAAAGTAGAATCCCGGATGGAAGACCTGGATTTGGAGGTGGACCGCATCTCTATTTTGAAAATGGACTGGCAACCAACCTCCGGGTACGTTAAGGAAACAGACGAGGGCTATAATATGTGATGCTCCCCACAAATTCGGGATTGTCTGATGGGTCATGAACCATCAAAGGATTTGGATAGCACAGACGGCTGGCTTGCTATCCTTACCGGGAGGGGCACCTCTGGTGTAAAGGGTTTAATCCCCTCATGTCTCATAAAACACTTAAAACTGAATAGTGAGTTCGATCCTCCTGAGTTATGGACTATCGGGAACTCGATGGGTACGTTTATGCGTAATGGCCAACGCAGATGTTTGTTCGAAAAAAATTATGGGAATGGCGTCTGCAAGGACCAAATGCTGCAGTGCTGGACCTACGCAGGGCCTATCGACAGGTACACATTGACAAGTCCCGTTGGCCATTCCAAACAGTGGAGATTAAGGGACAAAGGTATTGTCTAACCCGCTTAGGATTTTGGCTCAATGTTGCCCCTTTAATTATGTGGGCCACTGTTAATACCATCTTGAGCCAGGATGAGATCGTTAACACAGCCTCCTTCTCTTATATTGACGACATTTTTGTTAATGAGAGTGTGTGTTCTGTGGTCTGCGTCAAGGAACATTTAGAGCAGTTTGGTCTGTTGAGTAATACCCCGGAGCGGCTAAGTATTGGCGCATGCGTGTTGGGATTGCATGTCTGGGAGGAGCAAGGAAAATTGTGATGGCGTCATGGATGTGAACTTCCGGTAGTCCCTGATAAACTTACCCGCCGAATTGTCTTCTATTGTCTCAGGTGATCGGAAGTTGATTGGTCATTTAGCCCAGGACGATCCAGTGAAAGGTGACTGTTGCATCAGTGAGCATTTGTAACCGGTGGGCAAACACTGTTACCATTGGATGTGGTTGTGGAGAGCAATGGTGCTGTGGCAGAAGACGCAAGCTGGCTTCAACCAGTGCAGGAAGACAAGCACATCAACTTAGCTGAGCTCAATGCTGTGTTGCGAAGTGTCAACCTTGCATTACAATGGAAGTCTAAAACCATTCATTTATGGACAGACTCAGCATGTGTGCATTGCTGGGTAGCTGACACTCTGACCGGACAGACGAGAGTGCGCACAAAGGCAGATGCTAATCAGACGTCGGCTAGCCACACTCCAAGAGTTGGCCTTAGAATACGAGCTGGACATTGATGTAGAGCTTGTCAAGTCGTGCAACAATTGAGCCGACCAACTTACTAGAGTACCACAGCGATGGTTAAATGAAATGTGCAAAATAACGGAACCTAGAGAACCTATGTGCGCTGTGGCTGAAGAGCGAGATGTTGCTCAAGTATGAGCCATTCATCAATCCAGCGGACACCCTGGTGTGAAGAGAACACTCTATTTTGTGAAGTTGATCAACCCAAGAGTAACAAAAGCTGAGGTGTGAGCAGTGGTTAGGGGATGCAAGGAATGCCAGTCAATCGACCCGACCCCTGTGCGTTGGAAACCGGGCAGGCTTGATGTCGTGGAAAATTGGCACAGGTTTGCGATGGATGTAACCCATTTCAGACATCAGCTATACCTGACGCTGTAGACTGCGGCCCCAGTCGTTTTCTCATTTGGAAGCCCTTGTACCGCCAAGACTCTGCTAGCATCATCAAGGAGCTGGAAGTTGTGTTTTGTGAAAGAGGGCCGCTGATTGAACTGCTTATGGATAATGGCACAGCGTTTTGTGGAGAGAGGTTTGCCGCTTTTGCAAAGATGTGGAATGTACAAATACGATTTCGCTGTGCCCACGTACCATCGGGGAATGGGATATTTGAGAGATTCCATCGTACAATAAAGCGCATCGGGATGAGAACACGGTGTTCAGTTTTGGAAGCTGTATATTGGCACAATGTTACCCCAAAAAGGACAATAAAACAGCTTCAACTGCACCGGCGAATGCAACCTACACCTACAGGGTCCGCATTAAGGGTATCGATGCAGCTTTGGTGCGTGACGACACAGTTGCCAATCCTTATACGGTAGGAGAGACTATCTGGGTGAAAAATCCGCACGGAAGGTTACGACCCAGTTCAACAAGGGTACGGTGACACAAATTAATAGCCCACACTCCGTCTCTGTTGATGGAATACTGCGCCACATAAAAGATATGCGTCCAGTGTGCGGAAAGGATTATTCCGTCAGCAACCACGTTTTAGTTCTTCAGATGATGATGAAGCCCTGATGGTATATATAAAATCGCAGGAAGAGCATGATGAACCTATGTGGGATGAGCTCAGCGAGACGTCTGAAGAGAGCACCACTGAGGAAGCACTTGAGACCATACCACTGAGACGGAGCACCAGGCAGAAACGGCCTGCCCCACATTGTTATTTGTGTGATCTCGAGATCAGGGAGGAGTGTAATGAGCATGCGCGGAAGCATCCTCGAACTGCGTGTGTGTGTTGTCGCCAGGCACACCTTGGAGTACCATAATGGACTTGACTGAGGACTACAAGGTTGGTCGTCCATCGGCAGCAGTCTTGGGTGCCGTTTTGCTCGTTTGCTGTCGTAAAGTGTTCGTTCGCAAGAAGGTGTTTGTTTCAGGTTCGCAAAAATCTGAAGTTATCTATTTGCTTGATATTTTCTCCGTTCAGACTTTTCATGCCTGTAAATGTATCTTGATTCAGGCAGAATTGACATACAGACCAATCTTTACATATGAAAAACACAAACATATGCAACTATCTCCCCTTCATTATTTTTTGGTGTGACTGTCTCTCACTCTCCAACTCTTTCTTTCTCCTTTGTTTGCATATATCTCTATTTCTCTTTCTACCTCTCTCTTGCATTTAGGTTTGTTTGAAGTATAATTTCCCTGTGCAAGTGCAACGATTGATTATCTCACAAAAAATTCCCAAAGACAGGGACGTATTATTCAAACATGGTGTCAAGGAAGGAAGCACTGTATACATCTATATGGTGCCAGCTTACAAGTTGAACCTTGTCAAAGAACAGTTCCAGGAAGAACTTGCCCAGATGCGTGGTAAGTAATGAGTATGATAAACACTTTTAAACTTTATAGTAATGTGATAGTAAACAAAATTTCTTTGTGGTTGTTGGCAAACTGAAATTTCAAATCTCAATGATAGATTCATGTCAGATATAATCCAAGGAATTATTCTGTAGTTCAACTGCTTTTTGAGCCTTTTGGAATCTGAAAAATCTACAAGTTAGTTAAAATACGATGAAAAGTCCCATAAACAGGATCAAATTTATTTTGTTAATCTGTGAATATATATAATGTATAAACTAAAATAATTACCAGTTGGAAAGTTTATTCATATTGTACTAAAATTTAGTTGTTCATAAAGAATTTAATAAATTTATATGTGCTATAATTTATTTGTTTTGTCTCTCAGTCCATTTTTATATAGTAAAATAAGATATGGTAAGTCTAGCAGCATTGTACCAATATTTATGAAATGCAATGGTAAATGGTAGGGTATATAATACAATTCTTGAGGAACTGTATTGACCACAATTCTTTAGTTGTGGAATAGAAGAAAATAAAATTTGATGGATGGTAGATTATTGTAAGAAGAAGAATGTGATTTACTTTGTGGTCAGTGTTGCCTGTCACCTGAAGTTTTGGGAACATTAAAAGGCAAAATACACTTTAATAAAATGAGTTAATATAGCAAGTACTCAAATAAGAATGACTTTGTCTCTCCTATGTATTTGCCTTGAAAAAGGAAAATTTATTTCACCAAATGCCAGTTGATTTCATTAATATCATTCTGACATCTTTTTGTGTACCCCCTCACACCCTGAGAAATGTCGGGAGTCTTGCCACTCTTCTGAATAATGCATTCTTTCCACAACCAAATGCAGGGTGCAATGCCACAATTGCACAATTCTGATTGTCTTTATCCAAAAGAATCTAAGTTCAATAAATTGTCCACTTATTTTGCCCAAAATACATTTGCTTTTGTCTTGAGAGTTTGTTCAAGACTTCACAACTGAATTCTTGTATTCCAGTTTGTCATTTGTCAAATGCTTTGTCATTAGTATGACTGGACAGACTTATGTTTTTAATGTAAAAATTATTTATATTGATTTCAGATATTTAATCTCAAGCAGAAAACCTTAGATTTACATGCAAATTTTTTTAGGTTACTTTATACTGAAAATATGTTAATTGTAAAAATCTCTTAAGTTTCAGATAGTTGAGTTTTTAGAAGCTATTTCATAAATTTAATTTCAATAAATATGTTCTTACAAAACATTTAATTTTATGCAACAAAAGTTAGTTGTGAAAAAATGTTTCCCTACTTTTTATGAAGGGACTAGTTTCAGTTAGAAATGTCTCAATCCCAATCAAATCTTATCCCTAAAATTGATGTCAAATTCAACTCAAATCTTTTTGAATTACTAAAAGTTTAAGATCTCAATCCAACTACCCCATGCAGAGTTTGAAAACTGGGATTCTTAGAAAAATAACTTTAGATTTTCAGATTTCAGAAAACATTTTCTACATCAAAAGTACTTTTTTTCACCTAAGCATAATTTGCATGAAGTTCGAAATTTGGAAGTCATAGTAGCAATTTTTGTTTCTGTAGGAATGTCCATGTGCTTAAAAAAAATTTGACCACATATTTTAAATTTTAAATTTTAAAATTTTTCTTGCTTTTGATGGAACTTAAAAATTTTGGAGAAGTGTCCAAAATGTGTTAAGTTTATGTAGAGTTAGGGAGAAATATAGATTAAATTGTTTTCTGTTAAGAAGTGCCAATGGTGTTCTTACCAAATGATCTGTTTTTTGCATCTTGTAACGAATAGTATTTTACATACATGACATACAACATTCAACAGTTAAAAGAAAATAGATTACAAAGTGTAAACATTTTTTGTTAACTATTTAAACAAAAAAAGTGTACACAGTGACTCGAAAAATAATTTTTCTTTTTCATACATGAAGATATTGTTTATCTAAATTAAATTTCTAAAAATTTTCTACCCATGACCAATTATTTTACTTACTTTTTGTCAGCACATTTAAGAATAATGAAATCAATCTTAAGGCTGATGTTTGTGGTTAAATGAGAACAATAAACTGTTTGGATTAAGTGAAAATACATATTGATGGAGTGAAAAGAGTGGGAGCCACTACAGAATTTAGGGTGTTCACAAAGCCCAGATTTTGCATATATCTATTAAAAACTGTTCTTAAAATTTTAAAAGAAAACTTCTCAGAAGATTATGTAAAAATATATACATTTCTTTTTTATTTTTTTTCATCTTTATTTTATATTTTTTTCATTCAGCTACAGACTTATCGATGTCCCTAAGTATCAACAAAATTATACACTTCCATAAATTAACCCAAGTGCTAGATTTGTATTTTGTTTGAGTGGCAATCTTTTGTTTATAAAGATTTTAGTTCTGTTTTCTGTTATTTTTTAATAATTCAACCTTTTCTTTTGTTTCAGTTTTTGTAGATAGACCTTTACCAGATGGAACTCTTCAGTCAAAGCCATATTTATCAATGGTCAACCTAGATTTGTCACCCCTACCTGTTTCAGGTCCCAAATCAGGGATTGTTGCAGCTGGGTCAAGGCAGGTTTTCAGCTCGGGAACTGAGTCTGTAGGAGCTAGCCCTTTCCTGGCTCCAACTAAACCAGTGGAACAAGAAAAGGTATACTGCATGAGTATTTGTTTTGGGTCTGAACAAAAAATTGTGAATTTGAACACATGTGACTAATATATATATATATATATATATATATATATATATATATATATATATATATATATTCTGAAAAGTGACATTCAGCCTGTCTTTCTATCTGATTTCTATGTGCATTGTTAATTTTAAACATTTTTTAGTTTTAAAAGGCAAATAGAGTAAAATGAGATGCATTTATGTCATTTGATGCTCTTTAAATTCTGATAAGGAAAAGACACTGAAAAACAGAAGAAAAAAGTTCTATTTATGGAGATGATGCCATAGCTGAGAGTACTGTTCGTTAGTAGTTCTTTAGGCACAGAAGTGGGAATTTTTATCTGGAAGACCAAGAACATTCCTGCAGTCATTAATGATGACCAATTTGAAATGATAAGAGATAATCCTGTCATATGACATGGGACCTCACAGAAATAGTACTTCATATATCTTTATAAGCATTGTAAAGCATTTGAAAATGAGGTTTGGGTGCCTCACAATTTAACTGAAAAGAAATTTAATGGATTGCATTTCCATTATTGATTTTCTGCTCAGATGCAACCAAAACAATCTATATTTTCTATAAATACTTTCGTGGTAATTGTTCTGATGAACTTTTCTCTATGGTAATTAGACTTTATGAATTTAAGTGCAGTACTAGATTGGCAGCTAGGTCTCATCATTTTACAGATGCAACTGTATGTTCTATGCTAACAGTTTCTTCTATTGCACTTTTCGCTTACAGAAATCTCTTCCCGTGTCTTGCTTCCTAGTCATCTTTGATCTTCAAATATTTAAATGTAAATTGTTATCTACTGTCTTAATTCTTGTTCTGTTATTGTTCTCTCTCCTTAATACTTTTTTTCTCTTATTCTTTAACCCTTGCATATTAGTGGCATTATTGCCTTGCTTGGGGTAAAATGATTTTTAAAAACATGGATTATAAAAGGTTCTAGGGAAAACAAAATTAGTCACTGTTAACTACTTTCAAAACAAGCAGAGAATCTGGTGGGATTGAAAGTACTGTTCTCAATTGGACTGATTAAAGACAACAATCCAATTGGATGGTATGAGGTTTCACATTTCTTTGCAGATCTGGTGGAAATTGGTACAGTTTAGCTGAGATTACCTACTACACTTGCTATACTCACTAGACCTTGTTTCTTTGGTTTACAACATATTTCAGTCTCAACAAAATTCTCTTAATTGGGAGAACTTTAATTCCCTGGAAGCCTGTAAAAACCACTTACTCCAGTTGAGTTCAGAGAGGATGGAATCAAGAAGCTGCCTCAAATGTGGTGAAACAAAATGATACAAAAATCTATATACTAATACTATTGTCTCTGCACATTCACTTAAACACAAACTTTTATTCTGTTCTAGTATATGTTGTTATTTGTGAGTGTATATATATATATATATATATATATATATATATATTGGTGACTCGGGATAACTCACTGGCCAATTGCACTGGCTTTTGTGCCTAATGATTGGTCTCTCAAAGGTCTGCCATGTATATATATATATATATATATATATATATGCGCACACACACGTACATACAGAGTGCGATAGGTAAATTGTTTCCATTTTATATTTTTTAATTTTGCGCATATGCATTGTTTGCTTTCAATTTTGTCTACTACACAGTATAGTAGGGTCAGTTGGGCACCTTCTGTGAGAAAAAGAGCACTATGATGCAATTCACTTAACCACTGTACTGCTTGGCATTCATGCTGGAAGCTCCAATTTTAATATTTCAGTGTATTTGGGTGTCAATCTGAGGACAGTGTAGAGGATTTGGAAAGAGTTGGAAGAATCTAATGGCGATTACGAAGGTGTTCATTATACCTCCATTCGTCTTTCTACAGGGCTTCAGAGTGAATATGGAGGCCTACATCAAGTGCCTTCAGGAAGTAGTGCTGCCCTGGGTCAAGAGGGTGGCTGTTGGAAGACTTTTTGTCTGGCAACCATCTGCACCATGCCACACAAGTAGGAAAACCCATTTTGATTCTTGCTGAGAATTTCAAACCAATAGCTATTAAATCTAGAAAGTACAGTAAACAAGATAAAGAATTCATTACTGCTGAAGTAAATAGACTATTTTCAGAAGGAATTATTCAGCCCAGCACTTCTCCTTGGCAGGCCCAGGTCATCATAACAACTAACAATTGACATAAAAAGAGGATAGTGGTTGATTATTCTCAGACAGTTAACAGATTCACTATGTTGGATGCTTACCCTTTACCTAAGATCGAGGAATTGGTAAACAAATTTGTACAATATAAAATCTATAGCACTATAAAATTGAAATCCACTTACCACCAGGATCAGAGATTAGTGGCCTTTATGTTTGATTCAAAACTAGTTGGAAAAATAAAAAGTGATAAAATCAAAAGGTGGAGGGTTGAACTTGCCTGCTACAGTTTTGATATTAAATACCCGCCTGTTTAGAGAAAATATTACTGCAGATACGTTATCTAGAGCTTATTGTTCAGCTGTAAGTTTTCATAACCTAAGAAATTACACAACACTCTTTGTCACCTTTGTGTTACACAAATGATGTATTTTGTTAGGATGAGGAACCTTCCTTTCTCTGTGGAGGATGTGAAGAGAGTATCTACTGCTTGCCCTGTATGTGCCGAAGGTAAACCTCAATTTTACGGACATGACGCTCAGCATCTAATAAAAACAACCATGGCTTTTGAGAGGCTCAGTGTTGACTTAAAGGACCCCTGCCATTTTTCTCATGTAACCGGTTTCTATTTACAACAATAGACGAATATTCTCGCTTCCCATTTGCCTTTATTGTCCTGATATGTTGTCGCAAACATTCATCTGGTGCTTCACCCAACTCTTCGTTATCTTAATGTATGTGTATTTGGACAGGGGTTCCACCTTTATGTCAGCTGAGGTGAAATCCTTCTTGCATGGGCACAGAATCTCACCTAGCCAAACCACCCCTTGTAACCTCCGGCTAATGGGCAATGTGAGAGATATAATGGCATTTTGTGGAAAGCGATAACTCTGTCACTCAAAACTCAGTGCCTACCTATAAGTCAATGAGAGAATGTTCTGCCAGATACATTACATTCACTACTTTCAACAGCTACGAATGCTACAACTTATGAACCGCTATTCAAATATCCTTGCCGAACCTCCAGTGGCTATTCTGTTCCAACATGGTCAATAACACCAGGAAAGGTTCTGAGACAACATGTTAGACAATCGAAGTACAACCCTGTTGTGGAGGAGGTGGAACTTATAGAAACCAATCCTTGTTATGTGCACATTCGTCTCCAAAATGGCAAAGAAACCACAGTATCATTCAGATATCTTGACCCCGCTGGTCTCGTTCAGAACTGTTAACCTGAAATACAAGACTGACTTACCCACCACACAAAACTTTGAAACTTTAGATCTCAACAAGACTGAACTTAGAACAGAGACACCAGAAAATGAAATTGAAATTTTTTTACATCGATCAGAGCAAGTGCGTAAACCTCCCAAACGCTTAACTTATTAGTAAATCTTTTGCTGATTTCCTTAAATCAAATAAGGTTATAAAGGAAATACTTAAAATTGAAATAAATCCTGCTAGGATATAATCTTTCCTTAATATTGATTGACTAACTGCCATTAATTATTTCTAGAAGCAGGGGAGATTGTGATGAACATTTCTTCTCTCCCCACTGCCTATCGTCAAAAATGGACTGTGCCTGTTTATAAATAGTTTTGTTAGTACTAACTATTCTATTGTGCAGAATAAAGCCTAATTTGAGTTACGCTGTTTCATGTCTTTCATTACACTGTTATTGATTTTTATCTGTTGGTTCCAATCCCCACGGGGAATGGATGCAAAATACTTTCCCCTCCCCAATTTATAGGCGGAAGCACACAAATGCATGCTGGGATTTCTTCCTAGCCAATAAAATAGGCCAGTTCTCGGTTTCATCTGACTCAGTTCTGGTCTGTCTTGTCTTGAACTCAGAATGCTATGTTTGCTTGTCCAAACTTGCTTTCGTGTGTCAACCCCGATTTTTTAGCCATATTACTGTTGCTTTGCCTTATTACTGTTAATTTGCCTTGCATATATTGTTTGCTTGCTTTTTATTATTGAGGCGAATAAAGAAAACAGTAACCAGCGAGTAAATTCAAGCTCTCCCAGCTGGTATTTCAACCTTGAGTCGTTCCTTCTTGAGTTCTGTCTCAAAATCACACTAACTGGCCGTTCTCGCCGTCAACCGTGAATGTCCCTCGAAGAACTCCCCGACTCGGAAAAAAGTAGTTGCTTTTATAGTTGTTCATATACCCATAATCCCTTGCGTCTTCATGTGATCCCATAATTCATTGCATCCATGTCCCATAATGCATTGCATCGTTATTGCATAAAAATGCAATGCCAGTCCCCCCTCATTCTTTTTTTTACGTTATCTGGCCGAGGATGGATTACAGCAGAGCGGTAAGTGCTTTTTTTCTCTCCCTCATTTCAACTGCAGTAGCTTTACATGCTAAGCAAATACGGGCTCTTTTTTGGCGGGGACAAGGCAAGTCGCGACCGGTTGTGCTCGTCCCAGGTTCTGTCTCATGTCCGCCACAATTATTTTTGACCTTGTTCCTTTTTTTTTTTTTTCTTGGATATTGCAAACTTTGTCAAATTCTGTTTGTTGGGCAGTTTTGCCATTTATTTACATTTAACCATGGTCACTCACTCTACATATCTTAATCCTCATAAATGACACCCTATGCGTTTCAAACAAAAATATGTGATTCTAATTAGTTATAGCCTGTAATTTATGTTTTCTCTGGTTTGTCCATTAACATTTTCTGCTTATTTCTACACTATAGGCTTCTTATCCATTAATGCATCATGATTTTTCTGTTTTATGTAGATTGGATGGAGATGCCCCTGTTGCACGTACATCAATCTGCCACACCGTCCAGGCTGTGAGATGTGTGCAAGTAATCGTCCCAGTGACTATCAGATTCCTGAGAATTACGAGATGAGCCCAAAAGAAATTGATTGGTGGAAGATGGAAGATGCTGCTCATAAACAGGTAAGAACCTTTATTTCATGACTTTGTATCCTACCTGACGCTTCAGGGAACCCTTTATTTCATGACTTTGTATCTACTGACACTTCAGGGTTTTCAATTTGTCATACGTCTTCATCTTTTCCAGCTCATATTGTAACCACATTATTTCCACTATTGTACTTTTCATTTTTCTTTAGTTAATTCTTTCTTGTGGCATTGCTTTTCTAATCAGAATATCTAACTTTCACTACCTGAACCAGATATTGATCTCACACCTATCTGGAAACTAAATGTATTTGAACCAATGTGTTTATCAACTTTACTTCTATTGGACAACGGCAAGATTTAACCTAACGTCTGTTCTTTTCTAATTAAAACTTCTCATATGTTATATGCTAGGCCTACTGAGGAAGTTATCAAAGCATGGTATGTGTGCGGATTCTTTATTTTTCATTGTTGTTTCATAATTTAACTTAATTCCACAGAGATTGCCTCTTTTTTTCTACACATGATCAGCTACATCTGATTTCATAGTTTCTACATGAATTACAGCATTGTTATAGTTTTTAAAACTGCCTTTAGGGGACTTTTGGCTTCTCCCTTTTATTTCCTACCACAGCTGCATGGAATGGTGTACACACAATTTTTGGTTATGTTCTCTTCTGAGACTAGGTGCTGGTGAGCTCTCTGTTTTTGATTACTATCCTCATATTGTATGCACCACAAATCCTTTGATGTGAGTTAAACCAACTGCAACTATTTCTTTTTTTTTTTTTTTTTTTTTTAGCATTATCATCTAAATTTATACCTTTGCTGATATAATTTCAGGCTAGTTATTTACTTTGAAATTTGTTCCCTATACTGACTATCTTTTTTTGGTATTTGCCTGGCTTGCTATAGGAGTGCTGCTTTTAATGCTGTAAGAATAGTCTTAAAATCAACTACAGAAAATCAATTCCTAAGCTTTAACACAAACATCACTGATCTCAATCTGCACAATGGCGGGACCCTTGAAGTAGTAGGGGATATTAAATACCTTCGCTCCAGAATCCATCCTTCCACCAAAAATTTTAGCTTTTGACAACTGAAGAACAGGAAAATCACCAAATGAAGTTAAATCTTCAGCTATTTGTTCTATGGCACAGAATTTTAGATGGTAACTAATCAATTTGTGAAGATACCAAACTGATTTGGAACCAGCTGTTACAGATATATGTTGGGTACTAAATGAACCAATTGCAGCAAAAATGAGTACGTCCTGTAAAGGGTCAAATGACAACCTTTCGGAGGGACAACTACAAGTCTTGGAGAATTGGTTATGGACAACCAACAAATCCTGTATCAAGATTAGCTCTCTACCAATGAAAGCATGGCAACAAAAGAACATGGTACCAAAGAATGATCTATGCCAAACATAAAGAATATCAGAGAAAACAGCTGCAGAATTGTGGCTACTTGCTTTGAACTGAGAAAGATGGAGAATAAGTGTTCAGGCTATATGACTCAATATATTCCTGATTAAAGAAGAACAATAGAAACTGAAGTTCAGATATTGTCTGCTAAAGGTTTGGTTTATATGTCTTGAACTTATATTCTCTGGAGTTTTTTTTTTTTATTTTTTATTGAATGAGATTATTGAAAGTAGATAGTGGTTGAGCTGAGACTTGAAGAGATTAAGAATGTGGAAGCATCCTCTTGGGAGTCTGTTCTGTATAATAATGCTTCTTTGAACTTCCTTCTTACCAGTGGAATATAAAGACAATGGGGATGATTTGATCTTGCATAGATCGCATAGTGGGTATTAGCAGTAAAAGTTTGAAATTAGTGCAACTAGTATTCCTAGAATGTTTGCTATGACTAGGATAACTATAGTCCAGTAGCTATGTTTCCTTCTTGCTGATAGGTCAGAAATTAATTGGAAGGCTGTTGTTTGGTAATCGAATGACAAAATGAAAAAAAAATTATTTAACATGTTTCTTCCTCCAAAAGGACTTCATCAGGTAATGTTTTTATTGATGAAATTATATAAATGTAGTTTGGATTAGTTTATTTTGTTTTACGCCATATCAACCTCAAAGGGTTATTTAATGCCGACAAGATTTTTAGGATAGATTCGTATGAAGAGAATATGTATTCTTTGGTTTAGATTGGTTTGGTTTATTTTGTTTTTTGGCATATCAACCTCAATGGGTTATTTAATGCCGACAACATTTTTTATTGCTGGTAATATTTTGTCAAAAATCTGTTTCTGGTAATATTTTTCCTTCAAAATTGTATTGCTGGTAATAATTTTTTTCAAAAAGTATTGCTGGAGATTATATAAATGTTGTGGGAGGGAGGAAATATAAACCTAAATATATACTTATGTAATGATGGGAAATGCTGAGTTAAAAATGCTAAATTTTAAAATATTTGATGTTTGACATTTCCATATTCACAGCTTAGCTATGTCATTCGTTTTTCCAATATTTTTGTTTTTGTTGCAGTTGTTTTTAAATGTCCCACACTGCAACAATAGAAAATATATTAAGAAATGTGAAATATTTTAAGAACCTGTGAGCAAATTAGATTTTTTTGGTGTAGAATAATTGGCCATGGTTAAATGAAATAGGTAGAAGAATTGACAAAGTTTCCAATAACCAGTTAAGACAAAATAGAACAGGGTCAAAATAATACTAAGTGATGTAATGAATATGCATACACCTAGGTTACCCCTCACAGTAATATAATTGGCTGGTGTCAGCCATAAATACAAACTGATGTGGAGGTACAGGACGACGCCTATTGACTACACCTATTGTCTTCGCCTATTGCCTACCACTATGACGAGGACCAGTCCATTACGGTTACCTACTAGATTGTCCTACCTGGTTACAGTAGTCCAGAACCACTTTGCTACTTCGAACAAATATATCCCTTTCCGGGACATATCACTAAGCAAATAATATATATGTAAGATAAAACGAGGCAAACTAACAGTAATAAGGCAAAAAGTTCACAGGATTCAAAGAGACAGATGATGACAATTGACATTGCATTTAAATATTTGAGGATTAAAGTTGACAGGAAAGCAAGAAGCTGAAAGAGTTTTACAGGTAAGAAGTGCGAGAAAAGAAACCATTAAAATTATTTAGTTGTGTTTAAGTAGTTATGAGTTCAGTCCTTAAGTCAGGTTGTGAAAGTTGTATAATCAGGTTCACTGGAAAAGAAATGGCATCACAAAAATTAATATTGCACAACATGAACAGCAGAATTGAAATCATTTTCCACTGTGGATTGGATAAAAAATTCAGTTCCAAATTCTATAGCTGCTAAATATAGCAGTCACTTGAATAAGACTAGAGAGTACAATGGTTAAAATATTGTGACTATAACAGCAAAAATAAGGATTCTAGCCTGAATATATATATATATATATATATATATATATATATATATATATATATATATATATATATATACACACACACACACACACAATGACTGCCACTTTGTGAATTCTTGACCAGATCTTGTGTATATAATGTTGCTTTTTATTATTTCACTACAGTAAGAGTTATCTCCCCTGAACTGATATGGTAAATTTTTAGTATTTCACTGCATATACATACAATTTCATTAGGCTTAACTTAATTTGGCACAAGGCTACAATAGTGAGGCTTCAAGTTGAAATCAAACATACAATATTAAAAATAACTAGTTAGGCGAGCTTGTTACACAGCTGTTGGAGGGTTCCTATAGCCCCTTTAAACTTAAATAAAGTCAGTTCAAGTTTGCTATGGTAAAAATTTTCTATACCAAGTAAAAATCATCACGAAAATTCTTATAAAAAGCTTATTTTCTCTGAAAAAATGGATTTTCATACTTTTACAGGGGTAGAATATTGAAAAATGATTGTTTTGTCTTTATTTGAACAAAATATCAAGGGAACTTTTGATCTGAACCCCATCAAAGTAGGTATTTTGTGAAAGCAAACAATATATTCTTTCATTTAAAAATAAAATTGGCTGGTGTAAATGACTCAAAAATTTTTTTCAGGGGGTAAAATGTGAAAAAATAGTGAAAATTTTGCATTTTTTTTCTAGTTCTAAACAAAAAATTCCCCAATAATGGGAAATTAATTTTTTTTTTCTTTTTTTCAGAAAGCCTAAATCATAATGAAACTATTTCAGGCATAAAATTGAGAGTTTGTAGGAAAACAACATTCAAAATGGGACAAAGTTCGTTGGTAATTTTCAATTATATGGTTGCCAGGGGTTAAAAAATTTACACCTGGCTATGGAAATCTTTAGTGAAAGGTGAAAGATTTATTTGCAATTCCTGACCACCAGAAACCAGGAGTTTATAGCAGTGATAAGGAAAATTAAACCAAATTGACACGCCAGCAATAAATATTGAACAAGCTGTCATCAGCTTGTAAATCCCACCAGTTACAAGATAAGAGCAAAAAGTGAAAAAAAAAGAAAAATTGGTAAAAAGGGCTTGATATAGGTTATTTTTATTTTCAAACCTATGTTTGAACAATGGCTTGATGTGTTTTGTTTTGTTTTTTAACACCTTGTGACCCCCTGAGTAATGACAACAACACTTAGCAGACAACATTGCTTTTTTGACCGCATGTCTTTTATATTTCCCATCATTGAGTCAAATAGCAATTCATTTTATTCAATAATGTTCACACCAACTTAAAGAGAAAGGATAGAAGTTTGAAAAAAAAATTGTTTTGAAGTGAAAAAAAGTATTTTTTCATAAAAAAAGGTGATTTTTCTCAGAAAATTGGCCATAATTTTTTAATGCTAACCCCTGAGTGACATTTTTCACTGCCAAATCGAAGAATAATTACCAGTGAATAATTCCATGTTCAAACAGTAGCCATCTGTATCCTATAACATGGACCAAAAACATATAGAAGTTATCTGATTGATCAAAAACTTGTTGCAGATAATTGTGTTTTCCACTGTCAGTTTCTGTTATTTCATCTTGATGTTGTCGTTTTCGGACAGCCAAGTCATCAAGGATTC